TAATACTATGTGACAATTCAGGCATAGTGTAAAGATCTTTTCAAGCATGAATGTAACACATAAGCTATTAAGACATCTCACACACATAAGTGATAAATAACAATGGACAACTTTTGATTCAAGCACGAATATCTGTAGTGTGTCTTAAGTGACAAAAGAAGCTTTAATCAATCATGATTTAAGCTTAAAATGTCATGCTATGCAAGGCTCAACTTCTATGATCCAACTTAAGCAAGACTCATGCTTGAAATGAACATGTAAACACAAAGGCACTCTAAATGACTAATAGTTAAGATCAATGGACTTATGAGCCTAAAGATGGTGCATTCACTTTAAATTGATGACATTGGATTTAGCTCTCATAGTTTTCACATTGAATCTAAGAAAAATAAATAACTAAACCTATGAGTCTTGTTCTTCTCTTGATTCTTCAAGTTCTTGAAGGTTTTGTCACATCCATGTATCTTGATAACATCTGCATAAGTGACACACTCCTCTTCTCTTAGTTTACAATCATCAAGACACATGACTCAGTACCTATATCATCTTGACCTGTCAAGATTAGGATCAATTTCAATTTGCTTTCTCTTTAAATTATACACTACACCACATCATGATTTTCTTGTCTACCTCTTCATTATATATTTCTCATCATGATTTTAGGCTCAACTTCATTATATGTTTGCCTTTAAGTTTAGTAGCTTGACATCATGGTCATATAATATTATCAATGCATGATAACATAGTATACCCACTCACTCAAACTATTTGCAACTATAGGTAATTGTCTCAATTGAAGGATTAAATGTCAAACTATATTCCCCTCTGTTATCAAACAAGGTTGTACTGTCCTCCTCATCTTCATTTTTCTTCCTTTCATGTATATCTTTTTTACATGTAGCATCACATTGATCATATTGGACTTGGAAAAGTTCAAAATAGGTTGAGTATAGACTTTATAAAGCTGATGAAACAAGTGTGAACTCTGTAATATCAACCTTGACAACTTATCACAAGTCTCAAATTCACGTTGCAATTTATTATAATGCTTGTCATCCACAACTTGTTCAAACTTTTGAAAGAATTGGTTTATATCCAATTTAGGACTTTTAAAACTCTTTACACATGAATTTATACTTTTATTAACCCAAGTTCTTCTCATACGACTGTCCTTAAGCCTTTTATATAACATGCTACTTATTTCTCTTTTATTTTATACATGGACATCAACCATGTATTTTCTCCCATGTGTGTCTTGATAATAATTTTTTCCATCCTTCCTCAAACTTTGTCTCATCCCAACAATGATAGATACAATAAATGAAATCACTCAAGATATAAGACTCATCATTTTTCAAGTTTTTAAGGTGCTTCATTGCATTCCTTGAAATATGCCATATGCATAAGGCATGTGTTACTTCTGCCATCACTTCTTATAATTCTTGTGCCATTGCAGAATCTTGATCAATAAAAATAGTTTGTGGCCTCACATTCTTGTATGCATACAAAATTAAAAATTCTAAAAGAGCCACTTGAAACTTTCAATATTCTCATCATACAACAATGCAACTCTAAATGTCACCCGTCCTTTATAATGGTTTATGTCAGAGAAATAGCAAGAGGTCTATAATCATGATTCAAACAATAAGTTGTATTAAGCAAAATAACTTCTCCAAAGTAAGCATGGTCAATCAATATTTGTGCATCAACCCAGACGACATTTGTAACTTGCATCTCCAAGCCCATTTGATGAGAATGAAAAAGATATATTTTTTTGCCAATTGTTCTTCAAGTAGTGAAAGATACATCTAGCGTCACCATGTGAGATGGCTTGTCTCCTCCTTTAACTAAGATAATTCTTTGCATCAACTCTTGTAAATCTCAAGTTGGTTCGACCTTCTGCATATTCACTCATCAAATTAAATTCTAATTTTTTATTAATCCTAAATCTTTCTATAGTTTTCTAATTCAAATGCTTGTGCTGGTGTTATTTCATGATATGATCAAAACATGTGACTAACTTTAGGAGGCTGGAGGTCATGATTGTGATTTAGAAAAACTTCACTGATTTTGTATTTTCCATTTACTTGTACAACTCTCATTCTAGCTTTGCAACCCATTCTTGACTTTGGTCTAGAATTCTTTTGTTCTTATCTCATTTGTCTGGTTTTCACACCCCCTCTTCACAACAAACAAATAAGTTGTATGAATATGATGTATCTTTTCTACTCTTGCTAAATTTCTCTTTTCGAACACCATAACCCATTCTACTGGCATAATTTCTCCAAACTTTCCATGACTCTTCCATATTTTCAAACTCAAGATTAAGTCTAAATGTCAAATTTATATCCATTGTATAAACCTGTAACAAGTAAACTGGTTATAAATAAAACAATATACTTCCATAAAATAACTTCCAGCATATATAAAAATATAAGGAAGAAGCAACATATATATAAAAATTCTATCTTGATAAACTTATTAGAAAATGAAAGAAGTAACCTTCGATAATAATCAGTTCGAGAAAAATGAAAATATATATGACCTTTTCGTTTTATAAATGCAAAGACCATTTCCTCCGATGATAAGAAGCACCCAACTTGTAGAAATACAATTCTAGTCATTGCCCTTCTTTCTCATTGATGAAAATAACAAGATTTTACTCCCCAATGTATGATTTCAGCAAAATCCTTTTTCCTTGTATGAGAATTTCTTTTTATACTCCAGCAACAATTTTTTTGGAGGTAAAACATGAATTTCCCACTCTGGAACCCAAGATTTTTAACAGAAGAGTGAAAAACAATATAAAATTATAATGAAAGGCTGTGATTGTGTGGAGAAATGGATGGTTCAAATTTTCTTTTATAAGTAACACAGTATGTTTCTGGGTCGAAAGAGGCACGATGGAGATTTAAGTCGAAGGATGGAAGCTGCCGCCTCCTGAGCCGGAGCTTCAACTATTCTTCTATTACATATGATATATTGATTGCACAGTATTATAAAGAACGATCGTAATTCATGTTCATCTCTCTCTCTCTCTCTCTCTCTCTCTCCTCTCTCTCTGTTGCAACTATGGCAAAGTAGGGCAGGAAAAAATTGTTGCGTTAATTTTATCTTGAATTTTAGTAATATATTAAAAGTACTTGTGGCCTATAGGACGAAAATATCAAAATTGGCAGGTGAGGCTTCTAGTGTCGAGTTTTTTTTTTTTTTTTTGTGAGATCTAACATCCCAAATTTTTGATCTATATTCAAGACTCTAGTTCAAGACCTCTTTAAGAAATATCAACTTCCTTACATTTGATGGTCTAACGTTTGTTTTGTTAAAAGCACGAGATCCACAAAATCTAATTTACGTAGAAGACTAGACTCAAAAATAATCATTGTTTGGTTTTTTATTATTCCAGTTATCATTTAAAAAAGAAAGAGGGGGGCGGGGAGAAGGAGAAGTAGAAGGAGAAGAAAAGAAAGAAAAAGGGTATGAGAGTGCATCTTAATCCCTTCTTCACTAAGACCCAAGTGTATGCTCACTGTAAAAAATGCATCTAGAGACGTTCACAAACTCGATTCGGTAATTGTAGACCAAAATTAATCCAACCTGAGTCCTACCTATTGGATTTCACAAAAAATAAAAGATTTTATCCAGTTAAATCTTATTCAATTTTGAAGTTTCTTTTTGAGACTTCCATATTTTATTTTCTTTTATTTTACAAATATCTCTTTCCCTTTCTAAATTATTTTGTATGCTATTTTAAGATAAGAATATTGAGCTCCAGAACATGTTAGTAAAAATTAACTCAATGTCATCATATAATTATTCCAAAATTGTATTTTTTTTTTTTTTATCAAACATCAGCCAATAAAAACACTACCAAAAACACCCTGGAGATACCCACAAGGCCACCATTGATAATAACATTCCCACATAGTGGGGTGTTCAGATTAGTCTGGACAGAAAAAGATGATATTTAAGTTTTCCAAGATACCGAGCAAGGGAATTAAAAAAAAAACATTTTTGACTTTAATTAAACTGATCAAACAACACTAAACCAACAATTGAACTTATTATGACGTAAGGGGAAACACTTCATTTAATTTTGCTTGGTTTTGGCTTCTAACAGTTTGATTCAATTTTGAATTATCCTTAAATCCAATGAGCCGCCTATATGGAATCCACTTCCTCTCTATTTATCCCATTCAAAAGTAGACTATCAACTAATCATCAACACAGAACATCAAAATTGTAGCAAATTGGACTGTCAATAACCATATAACAATGCAGCTCATTTCTCAAACTCCATATAAAACATAATGTCTATATCTAGTTAAAGTGGATGCTTCCAGGAGGAAGATCTAACATATAATGTCCAAGACGCCCGGTACGGAAAAGATCAAGCAGCTTCTTACCAACCTTGACATTAGCCTCTTCAGGACATTCAGAAGAAACATGAAATACCTTCTGCAATGCTCCAAACTGTATAGAAATAAGGGTTTCCATCTCCTCTTCATCATTTGTATCCCCTTCATACGCTGAAATTGTTTCGAAGAGGGTTTGTCGAACATCCCGAACTATGCAGTCCTGCCAAATGCAATCTGTGAGTTTATTCAAAGGAAATCAAAGACTGTTCAAATAATAACCTTATTCATCAACCTTAATTGAAGACAATGGGAAGTAATGTGTTGTCAATTATCCCTGTACACTAACCAACTTCTGTTGCACTGGCTAGCATAGTATTATAAACTTATCTAACTTCCTTTGACAATTATAACATGATAAGGAGATCTTTTGCTAGTTGAACAATCATGTAAAATGTCATTCAGTAAATTTTCCCAAGAAAGGAAAAGGAGAACATGCGTGTGTATTATGACAATGTCATCCAAAGCAAATTTTCACTATCCAGTGGTAAATCCTGTGGCTGGCTTTTCAACAGAGACCCATTTACACAGCCACAACATGTCATCGTTGCCTTGCTGCCGCCACCGCCACTGCAGTAACCATCACTGTCGTGGTTACCATTATTGCTTTCTTATCACCAACACTATTTCCATGTTACCATTACTGTCTCCTAAAGTAGATTCCTTTGTATCCTTTCAGATTTGACAATTTTCAGGCATCTTATCAATGGGATCACAGTAACTGATCTAAATTAAAAGGAATGCTCATTCAAGAAAATAATAATAATAAATATTCAAGAAAATAATAATAATAAATAGAAGGAATGGATCTCATTGGTCATTTGTCCCCTCCTTCTATTGATGGTCCGAGTGTTTTAACAGAATTGTCAAAGGTACTTTTATTTTGAGAATAGTTTTCTTAGATCGATTTTTTTTTTTTTTTTTTGGAGAGACAGAATTTATTGATGAGAAAAGAACTGTGTAATAATGATGGAAAAGTAGCCTTCCCAAAACCATGAAAGCTTTTCTAGAGGATATCATAAAATATTGACATGATGCAAAACTAGAGACTAGAGGGAGAATCTTATTTCAGCTCTAATGCCCCCTCTTGCACAGAAAACTCCCAACGCGAGGAATAAAGTTGAAGTTAACATCAAATAACTTAAACCTGCGTGTGATCTGTAGGGCTTTGTCTTCTCTGCTTCACATGCGATTCAGAGCTATTCAAAAACTCCATTGTACAGTCAAGAGACAGCATATCCTTATCCTTGCTGGATAAGTTTGCCCAATTCTTGTATTGTTCACTCCTATTGAGTATAGCTAGAAAGTATTGAGCAAGTTCTTTTGTCCCTATCAAATCCTTGATTGCTCCTGCTTGAGGATTAAAAAGAAAGAAGGGACTTAAGTAAACGAAATCTGCAGAAAATATGAAAATGCTGAACTATGAAGTAATCAGACCAAAACCTTGAGCAATGTGTTTGCAATATTTTAGTTTATCGCCCTTAATAACAATCATTTATATTATATACCACAGCATGTATTTTGGGAAAAGTGGATTCATTTGACATCTCAATTTTTTTAGTGCATGACATGATTAATAGGAAAAGAGGGTGTTTCCATAATGCATAGAGCATTAATTTTGCCTCTTTTCTTTTTCTGCACACATTTTAGCCATGAGTGAAAATGCTTCCTTCTCGAATTAGGGGGGCTTCAACAATACAGAGGAGAGTTTCAAAGGGAGCTTTCATTTTTGACATCGCAGCCTCAGACTTCAGTAAAATCAGAGCCACGGACTATCACATATAAAAGCACATTAGGAACAGTAGAAGTACTTGTAGAAGCCCGTTTAGCCTTGTGATGTAATGGAAAGAAGAACTTTACTAAGGTTAGTCATGGGTTGACATGGGCTCTACCAAGGAATGGCACTCACCAACACAAGGCACAACATAAATAAATCAACTATGTTAAACACAATGCGATTTTCCTACAGCTTCTAAAGTCTTCATAAAACTAGATAGTTAATAAAGTTAGGAAGATGAAAGATAAGCCATAATTGAATGATGGAGTGTGCTAGTCCTACTCACAGTTAAAAGCCATATGACCCATTTTTCAGGCCACATTTAATGAGCTTAATGTGAAGACCATCATAGAACCAAATCAATCTTTAGAGAAGTAAAACAAGACATTTAACTTTAGGGGACCAAATTGACACTTGGATTTTTGGAGGATTATATAGTCAATTCAGTAAAAAGTCATAGCTGTAGATATAGAGCCATCCAAACTCAGGATAGAAGGAAAGTTAATGAAATATACCTGTTAAAATTAATTTAGAGCAAACATCGACATCAAGAATTTCTGGAGGTAAAACGCCTGGAGTGTCCAATACATAAATATTGGGATGGCTAGCAATCTGAATGAAAGATTTTCTAAAGTGAAAATGAAATCACAAAAGAAATAGTATGCATGCAAATATGATAAGCGTTGGAAATAGTACGAATATGAAATTTTATTTGGGCGCATGAGTGTAATATTCGTTTCATTAGTCTTTTATGTCCAAATTGAATTTTTACTTCCTACAATGGCCCCCTATATCTTAGTTGTAATTTTAATCCTAGAATAGCCTCTCTTGCATCCATAAATACCATCTGATAAGCCACATTTCAATATCATATTCTATAAGACATTTAATTTATTAATCCAAATAAAGGAAAATTACCAAATTAAAAATAGGAAAGAGAAAATTCAAACTTGTGTTCAGTGGTACAAGAGATTAAGTGGGATCATGTGTTATCCAAAACAAAGCTAGTCAGAGACTCATAATTTTCATAAAACTTATAAGACGGTAATAAACAGCTTTGAGATTATTTTAACATGATGATGATATGGACTCCCTTTGGTCTCATATAAGTTATCCAGAAGAAATTAGGTGTCCTTTTTATAAGTCACTTTGCATTAAAAGACGGATTATTAATTATTAATTACATATAAGAGAGAGAGTATTTTTAAAGAGGATGCATTTAATAAAGGTAAACTGGGTGAAAAAATTTTTCAAACAATACAAATGATTTAACTACCTCTTCTTAGTTCTAGTAAGGTAGTTAGAAATAAACTATATATGGGACCGAAGGGGTAATAAATAAAAGAGTGAGAAGTTAAGGGTAGTTAGCTTAGTTAGGCATCTAGGGACAAGCCATAGCCTATAAAAATGGATAAGCTAGTGATTATAATCAAGAATTTGAAAAAAGTTAGGTATTAAGTTCTATTCTCTTGTTACTCTCTTCCTCCCTATCTCTAGCCTCTCTTCTCTGTTTCCCTTATCTCTCTCTCTTTCTCTCTCCTTGCCTATCGTTATTCTATATCACAATATAGCAAAGGTGAAAACTGAAATCTGATTTAGTCCATTATATGAGTTGTCCATAATTTTTCTAACAAATTTCAAGAAAGCATAGAGCCAAAGAAAATAGAGGACCCACCTTAAAACTTCGTATATCTCTGGTCTCCCCTGGCTCTGGGCTCACAGTTGCATGCTTCAATTTTCCCTTCTCTAAAAAACAATAGACGTAGAATACAAAGAAAACTAATCAGAAAAAACACAAATTTCTTAAATATATGCATGCATCAGGCTTCACAAAACTTTAGTATATGATCTGCTACTTACAAGCATTGCAAGGAAGTTTTAGTTACCTGCAGCACTAGTTCGGCCAATTTGATGCAAGGAGTTAGCAAGTGCTGACTTACCAACATTTGGAATACCAACAAGCATTACCGTCGCAGTATGATCAGTTCTCTTCAATTCTCTTACTTGATTTTGTATAAGGCTCAAAAACTGTCTGTAGCCAAGAGTCCTTAGATTACTTCATGATCAACACATCAATTAAGATATAAGGAATAGGAAAAAGGTTATATTAGCTTCATGGTTTACAGTGTCACTCTTCCCTTTGAAGCCATTTCCATTAGCACATTTCTAACACAACTAAACACAAGTAACTAATTCTGCTTGATTAACACGTCCCCTCACCATCTAAGATCTGATTACCAAAGCTATTTGTAAACCCTTAATGCCAAATCATTTCTAAGACAGCAAAATAGAGACTTAAAAGTTAATTTCAGTTTCTCAAGTTCTCCTTCTTCCTTACCGCCAAATCATTTCTAAGACAATAAAATAGAGACTTCAAAGTTAATTTCTTGAAGTCGAAAAGGTTCATCTTTGCATCATCTACCCAATGTTGAAACTTCGATTTTATCATATGTATCAAATTTTAAATATAACTACTTTTTACCATCCATAGATTATATTATCTGCAAAGCAGATAGTAATTCTCTTGCAAATTCAAATGTTAAATTTATCCATCAACCCTGTGCATTTTAAGCAAATTGGAAAAACATTTTTAAAAAGCAGCAAGATATAAAAAATCATAAATAAATAATATCAAAAAACTTAAAATAGTTTTAAAAACTAATTATTCAGGTCAATAAGCCAGTCCCTGCCCCTACATATCAACAAGGTACTTTGGGGTAACAGGCCTCCTAAAGTTAAACTGAGCAGAGGAAAAGGCCGAAAGAATTAATGAAGGGGTAAAGAGAAAAAAGAATAGCAACAGCAGTACAGCAGAAAGCCAAAAAATTCTTGAAACCTGGAACTGATTATTATCTAGATTGTGCATTAAAGTTTTATCAGACTAACAACTCCCCCATGTGTAATGTTCTTTACATAGTCCTAGATATATACAATAAGATAATTCTTGAGCATCAGGAAAAAAGGAAAACAGATTCATAGAAAAGGATCTTCCTGTTTACCTTCCTGATGTTCTCCTTGTTATGAGAATTGACTCCATAAGAGATGAAGTTTCTTTCCCTAAAATATTTCATCCATTCCTATTCACAAAATGAATTATGAATCATGACATTATTTCCAGTGGAAATGAAAGAGCAGGAGGGCAAGAAAAGCCAGAATGAATACATCTTCACTAGAAGAATTTAAGTATGGGGAAAAAAATCCCCCACTTTTAGTTTTAGTTTTATGATGATAAAAGATCAGCACTGAATTTACAACATGAAAGAGTAATTTGATGAGAATTTTAAGAAGTACTTTCTTTCACATTTGCTTCGGACCAAAGATTTTTTTCTTTTTTTTTTTTTTTTTTTTTGGTGAATCAAAGAAGAAAATTTACAAGAAGGAAAGAAGCAGTACAAAGAGCAACGGGAATAAGGTAACAATACATAAACAAAGCGAAACAATAATCATAAAGAAAAAAAAAATTCTCCAATCCCTCTACCCGTCTACCAAGGACATTACCAACAACACAGCAAATGCTGAACATCAAAATAGGCCACAACAAGCATATTGCTTTAAATCAAGACCAGGAACGAAACTTCTTAAGACGATCCAAGCATTACAATCCAACATAGGCACTGCAAAGCATGCATATCTCTCCCCACTCACATGCAGGGGAAAAGATGAATATAACAAAAGAAAAACTTGAGGCCTTCTCAATATCCAACCAAAGGCAATAGCCATACCATCAACAACAATAGTGAGTTAAAAAAAGTGTCATAAACGAAAATCTTGAAGCATTCCCTGAATTTAAGCCTTAGCTTCCTGATTGACAGCAAGATAACAACTGAAGATGAATGAAAGAAATAGAACAAAGAACAATTACCTCACATGTGACTGCTGTCTTCAATATTCTAGGTTGCATAGATATGGGTATGAGTATCCAATAGGATACAGCATGATACAGCAATACGGCAAATATTCAAAATTTTACGATACAGGTACAGGGATATTTATAATACATTTTCAACATTTTATGATATAGATATAGGTATTTTGATTTTTAAACAAGAATTTTTAAAATAATATAAAGATATTTATAGCAATCAATCAAAACATTAAATATTTTTTAAGTTTTTAAGTGATATAGTAAAAAATTATTGAAAAAAATTACATTACAAATGTTAAAATATGGGACACAAATGCAAAAGTATCCTACAAGTATTATATCAAATACAATACATTTACTTTTTTGAAGTATCCGTGCTTCATAGTCAATATTCTAGTTACTTACTACCACTTATTATTTCTGCCATAAAGAATTGTCATTATGTCACTTACTTTAACATGCATACCCGTGCCAGTTAGTCCCTTCCATCAATAATAACATTGAAATTACTTTGGTTCTTCTCACAAAAGACAAAACATAAAGTACCTCCAAAAAATTTCGCATCATGATTCAAAACCACGTTTAAGCAATATTTCAAAATTTTCAGGTTTTTCAAATTGATGTTGCTACAAACCATTTTAACTCAATTACTGAGGGGTTTCTGCACCCGTACTCCTCAACAAAACAGCATAGTCAAGAGGAAAAATAGACAACTCCTTAAGATTTCTCTACTTCTCATTATTATAAATAATGTGCCTAAGATATTGAGGGGAAGCCATCCTAACACACCCTACCCCATCAACTGAATGCCGTCAAGAACTCATAAATTTGATTGTCCATACGTTCTCTATACCTTTATGGATATTAGCTCCCTTGAAAAGGTATCATACTAACCCAAAACTCATATTTAGGGAGACAATCCAACCATTAAAGAGGAAAAACATAAGTTGTGGGGCCATAACTCACAACAACTTAGCCTATCCCAACCTCCTTATTCGAATCCAAATTTATGACCAAACCAGGGGTACCTAAGACATTAACCCAGAAATTGACAAGCCATTAAGGAAGTAATCACAGAAGTCATAAGCAAGCTAATCAGAACTGCACAAGGTCACCAGTAGAGAGTTGACAACCAAAACTGAATCCACATTCAATAGAAAGCACACAAAGTAGCCATAGTGACAAATTTTTTAGGCATACAATGATGAATTGAGTTTATCAATCATCGTCCTTTTTTAACTTTTTTCCTTCATCGAATGTTTTTTTTTTTCCTCCCAATCATAAGTATAGCCAAAACATTTTAACAACATAAATAGAATTGAATGCATCCAACAGAAGAATCAATATCAGTAATTTGAGTAATCACCTTCTGAAATCCAAATGCCAAAATCAATGAAGCAAGAAGAGGCTTAGATCACCTGTAATTTTGATTGATCAGCAAGATCCATTTTGTTCAATGCTATAATGTTTCTAGTGGAAGCTGGACAGTTTCTCAATATCTCGCATTCTGAAGACAATGGAATCTAAAATAAGAGATACAAATAATAAATAAGTTTTTTACCAGTATAATAATAAATAAGTTTAAAAAAATGAAAATAAATCTAAATGTTATTGCCTACTTAATGTCTATCCTGAAGTAATTTAAGAAACCAGATAAAATGCATGAGAAGAAACCAAGGCTTGGGGAAAAAATCAACAACAAAGAAAGATTTTTGTCCCCACTTGATATGTCTGTGTGTGTGTGTGTGTATAAAGTAAAATTAGAACATATCAATTAACAAAAGTATTAAAAGGGGGGTGGGAAGACAGAGCTTTCAAGTTAGTACACCAAAGCATCATTGTAATAAACTCCATCAAATTTAAAATTCACAGTAACAGTGAAAAAGTAAAAACTACAGATTCTATAATGGGAAAATCATGACTGAAAATGAAAACAGAAGCAAACGCCGAACTAAATGAAATTTGATCAAACATTTAAAGGAAAAAAAATCTTCAGTAGACAGAGAGCATAAGAAAATGAGACTACCCTTGCATCTCTGAGTTCCACAATAAGATCAACCAATTGAATCCTTTCTGAGATGGCATGAGAAGCAGCAGCCATATGAGGACTGTACCATAGTCCTTGTATTCGTTTCTTCAATTTTAAGTCCTTCATTGCTTTGCCCATCTGTCTCGTTAAATAATTTGTCCCCATGTCAGTTGAGTAGCATGAGTCAATAACGAATGCAATGCAAGCACAATTGCAATTTATGCAGATTCTTGAGGCCTTATTTGGCACACGAAAGAATAGAAGGCCAAATACAATAGGGACACCAGGTGCAAAATGCAGTTCAAATAGACCTGATAAGAAAGAAAAAATGTTCATCATTAGTTGGGCAATAGAGTAATACGAAAGATAGAGATCACCCTGTTCTGCCCTTGGCTGGTGCCAACTATATTACATCAAATTATGCAAATGCCTTACCTCTCTTGGACTTTTGCAACACCAAACGGGTTTTAAAAATTATTAGGCCTATGAAACTCCAAAATCGACCCATAAAATTCCACAATAAAATTATTCCAAGCGAACCTCAAACCTCTCTAAATGGTGCGAGAAAAGAAGTGAGTTTACCATTAGTCTACCATCTACAAAAGTTAAACCTTTTCAGTTTCTCCTACCATCAAACTTTCAATCTAATGCACACATTCTAGCCTCAAATCATAACAGAAAATTGCGCTAAGTTGGCTCCTGAAACAGAGAGAACTTGATGGTAGGAGAGAAGAAACTTACCTACCAACTATAACATCAATTCTTCTTCATGACTATCACCTCTCCTAGCACCTTAAATCCATGCTTCCACCTAATCATCTTCATCACTTTAGTCCCAATTTTTCCTCTCCTCACCTCGAACCACAACGAAACTCGCCCATTAAATAATCTAATCAGCAGGACTCAAGGAAAATAAAAAAGGAGTTGAGTTCAATGAAGGTTACCGAGATTTCACCCTCAACAAGCTTGAAATTATCTGCAGTGCTCTTCCTTAATTCTAGCATCCGTCTGGTAAGAAAATGACTGTGAGAAAGAGACAAAAGTAAAACGCAGCAGGAAGTACATGCTGAAGTTATATTAAAGTGTAGAAAGCATGCACGAAGCCTTCTTTATCAATCTAAAAAGCTTCATTCCCAGAGCTCATAAGCAGTATATTGAAGCATCCTTTTCTCTTGAAGGCCTTACGAAGAGCGCCAGAATTTGAAATTACAAAGGCAGTCTATCAGGTAAGACATCAAGAAAGCAGAAGAAATTACTAAAGGATTAAGAGGAGAGTGAGAGAGACAAAACCACTCGCCTAGTAAGATTGAGCTGAGAACACCGGCTAAAGGTTGATGGAGAACGGAGCGGCAGCCGGCATATAAACGCGCCTTCAGTGCGATGCAACTGATGAGCACCACCAGTTCCGCGCACCGTTTCATATTCAAAAAAAAAAAAAAAATCTGGGCGCACAGATTGTCCACATATTTTTTAATTTTTACTTATTAAAATAAAAAGTTGTAATCTTTTTAATAAATTGGTTCTACATTAATCAATTTAAATAGTACAAATTTAATTCAAATATCTTGAGTAAAAACTGAATATCCAATTAAACAAACAAAAAGGTACAATAGACCAAGAAAAAGTAAAAGCATCTATTCTATTTGAACATCTTCCACTCTTATAATTGAAAGTGGATGATGGTCAAAGAGATAAAAACAAGTGTTCATAATGTGTGCATATCTGGCAAGGTAGTCAGCGTGTTTGTTCAAATCGCAATATGCATGGTTAAAAGGGTAAACAGATAAAAATACACACAAAATAGTCAGCCAGGGACACCTAGCATCCTAAAATGAGAAAAAAGGTAAAAATACCCATAATATTATACAAGTAGGTGCAAAAGTAACTAAATTGTTAACTTTAACCATTAATGCTAACTATACATGCCATATGTTGATAAGTCATATTTATTATGTAACATTTGGAATTTCTAATCCTGTATTAATAATTGATTAAGAATGAATTAGTGATTTAATGTAAGAATAGGATTTCTAAGCAGTAAAGTGTTATTTTGACCCATTGAAATATTATATGAATAGATACAAGCAGAAGAGCAAAATCCCGAAGTAGACATGTGAGCATAGTAAGGATTTTTTCTCACTATGCCACACGCCGCGGCGCATGTTGCAAAACTTTGATTAATAAGACGTGTCCAGCTCATGAAAAACAAAAGGGAGAACCTGGGAGAAGAGCTCAAACATGGAGAAGAGGGGGAGACCTGCTAGGGCAAACATAAACAGGAGCAAAGATGATGTTTTTAACTTATTACGTATCGGGTAAGTCATGTACTGCTTTAACCTTCAAATCTACCCTGTTTTCATTTAGTTCTAACTAGTGAGAAATTAAATTTGGGAGTTTTAAAAAGTTAATTTCTTACCCTATAGTAATAAAAAAAGGTTCTTCGAAACTAATAAATGCTTTATGACTGGTTGGAGTTGAAATGATAAAGTTTTAGAGCTATAGACAAGAATTGCCCTAATCTAGAGAAAGAGTAATGAGAGAAAATTGTTAGAAAATGTTAAAGCTTAAAATGAGGGCTAATCAGTGCTAAATCATGTAATCAAGTGTGAAATATGGATTTGATAGCGATTGAGTGCTTAAATGTGATGATTGGTACTTTTTGTCAATAGAGAAATTGATTTTGGGTTGCCAATTCTATGTAGATTCTAGTGTGTGACGCATGAATTACAAGAAAGAAGCTTGAATAGGGTTATTGGAACATAGGTAAACCTTTCTAGCAAACAGAAAGGTTGAGATAACCATATAATTTATTATGCTTGTTAACTATTATAACTATGTAGAAATATCAAATGAGAAATTGTGTTCATGAGTTTTGTGCGTGAATTGGTATTGAAAATAGTTTTAGCATGAACATTAGTTTGTGAAATGATATTTAAAAGGTTATTGATTTCAAATGATACATATGTATATGTTATGATATTATATGTTGTGAAAATATAAATGAGTAGTGATAATTGTGAAAAAGCATGATCATAGAGAGTGAGAGTTCACTCGAGATATGTGGGGATGTGTGTGTGGAGATATGTGAGTGAAAAATTTATATGGTCAGGCTAATACCATGGGACATCCGGTGCAGCACTATACGGGCTGTTACCATGGGTAGTCCGATACAGCATATTATGGGATTGTTATTATAAGACATTCGGGCAGTCTGGCAACTTCCTAGTGCCCAATAGGGTGCAGTTAAGAGTCAATAACGTCTTTATCACAAGTGTGTGAAGAGAAAAACCATAGTCAGTAGATGGATTAGATTACCTTTAGCCGGGTGTTTCTATCACTGAAAGTGTGCTTGGGTCAACAAGTGGTTATCCAAATAAGCCTATGGTTTTATGTCGAGGAGCTTTGGAGGATTAGTAGATAGCTGATCATACTAAGGTGTAAAAGTCCTTGAAACATAATTTATATGTGAAAACAATGTTTTAACCATCATATAATATGTATATATATATATGCTACATTATGGTTTTCATTATTTTACCATGATTATCTATGGTAATAGGCATTAAATGAGCTATATTTGTTAATTAGTGTTGACTTGTAGGTTATAGGTCAAATCCTTGCCAATTAGACTAATCTTTGTTGATAGAAAACATATATTTTAAAAAGAAAAAATTAATCTTGTGATCCTTGATTATTGACTTACTTAAAACTCAGCTCCTCAACTATTATTAGGTATAACTTGATTCGCTCAACTATTAACTCACTCAAAACTTAGCCGCTAATCTTTCTAGTTTTTTATAAGATGACCCCTTTCCTTCATAACTCATTGTCAAGTCATCCTACTTGTCAATTAACATTACTACCACCATTAAATGAAGATCTTTTGGCCTCCATGAAGGAGAAGAGAAGATGATGATGACAACAACTAGACATGTATTGGGTTTGCAAAGGTAAGCGATAAAAACCACAATATTAGTCAGCTGTATTTTTTTTTTTGTAATTTTGTATAGGCCAAATGTGTGTATGTGTGATATATTGTACATATGTGTGGTCAATTAGGTGTGCATTATTCATTTGAACTTAGTCAAGACCCAAAAAGTAGCTAATAACATTTGGCTTTGAATTGAGACACTTAAGTGGCAAGATTTTGATAGAAAATGGCCAAAATGCACTTGGGTGTCCAATTTTTTATAGAGATATCGGATTGAGTTGAAACTAATGCCATTAGTTAGATTTTAAAATAAGCTTCATGTGGGTGCTTGAATCATCCCAATTGGACATCGTATGTGAAAATGGCGAGCATCTAAATTTCGTATCAGAAACTGCCATTTAACAGCAAATTTAATTGTGTGCGCCACAGCACATGTACCAGCATGCTGCGACGCACGGCACAGAGCAAGCAGCTGTGGCCTCTATGCCACATGCTGTGGCGCACGGTGCCAGTAATGCATATGTTTTCCTAATCCTTAATGCACATAAATTTATTGCTTCTATTATGTGTATAAAGATTTAAATTTGAGTGAGTTATAAAATGATTTTTGAAAATTTTTATTGGAATCCCAAGGCTTTCAATGTTTTCAAAGTAAATGATTTTAATTTGATTAGTAAGGTTGTTGTCGAGCGCAAGGTAATGTCAGTAAGGGCATTACATATTACATACTTTTCCTTATTATTATTGATTGAATTGAGTTTTGCATTGCAACCACATACCCAATTATTGCATTGATCAAGTAATATGCCACCATAACCACTTTGACCATCATTGCACACAAACCCATCAATGTAGAGTTTGGCAACCTTACTATTTGAAGTATTCTTTTAGGGTGTCTCACCTTTGTGGGGTTTTGAAAATAAATAGTTGTTTATCAACTTTATATCTAGGGAGGCCTTAAACAAACTAGAGATCCCCAAATGATTAGGGTCTTCCACAGCAAATCCAAAAACCAAACTACATCTAGTAACCCAGATATCCCAACAAATGAAACTAAATAAAGTTGACCAAGGAAGTTTTCTTGTGAAGTTTGCCCTAGCTTCATGCTTCAGGTTCCATTTAACCCAATCTACTCCCCGTTTTGAGAAAAAGGGTTCTTGGTTTCCCTCTTTAAGAATAGAAAGCCACTTGTTTTTTGCTTTGATATAATCTCATAACAACTGAATTAAATCTTCCTTGTTGTTGCAACTAAACAGACAATTATCATCGATTTGAAGCCCTCTTCTAAGTATAAGATCCATTGTGTGTGCTTTTCTATGAGTGAATATCCACATGAAGGATTTGACTTTCTCGAGGACTTGCCACTACCATAAGATCTTCCAAATATTGACCACTTATAAAAATAAACTTATAGGCAAATTTAATAGTGAAAGATCCATCTTCTAGAAAAATTTATCCTTTCCTCTCTCCTCACGGGTAGGTGCACTCAACTTAGACAATCAACATTTTAAGAGTTAAACCAACCACTAAGTCTCCATCTGTCCCATTCTCCATTAGCCATTCGATAATCAGTTACCCACTCTTCTCTAGTAATAAATCCTTCATAGCCCTATATGAGATCAACAAAAGGCATATTTACCTCAAACCAATTATCGAACCAAAAAGAAGTTGCTTTCCTATGCCCAATTATCTTCCCTATGCCTTTCATGAAAGTATCCCACACATCACAAATGCTTCTCCAAGACAATGAAGAACTCTATTTTTTTCTTAATAGTAGGCTTACATCTAGATTGACATTTGTATTTCAATCTAAGAACTTTAACCTATAAGGAATCCTTATCAGTCAAGGGCTTCCATTAAAGTTTCATAATAAAGGCTATATTCTATTTTCTAAGATCTTTGATTCCTAAGCTGCCTTCCTCTTTGTCCCACTTGATTTGGTCCTAAGATACCAAATGAAGCCCATGGTTATTTGCATCATGATCCTAAAAGAAGGTTATACTTTGCTTCTCAAGTTCATTCAAGATTGTTTTAAGCAAGAGCATGGTTTGCATATAATAAAAAGGTAAAGTA